CTCACCACCCTCTCCTGCCCCTTTCCCAGCCCATCAAGCGGGATTTCATCCTCACCCCCAAGTACTTCTACCTGATCGGGCGGGAGAAGGTGAAGAAGGGCCCTGAGAAGGGGCAGATCAAGGAGGTGCTCAAGAAGAAGGTGGAGCTCCAGGCGGTGAGCGGAGTCTCGCTGAGGTGTGTCCTTTAGCTCGGGCTCCACATGGAGGGGTCACCTCAACCTCCACCAGCCCTCCCCCATGCCCTGGTGGCCCCCACCCCCTTGTTTATAGAGGCACCAGATCATCGAGCTGCGGGGAGGAGGCTCCCCACAGGATGCTTTGCAGATGGGGCTTTAGAGGTCTGGGAGTTTTCCAGCCAAATCACTGGGCCCCCAGTGCCCAGCTGGCACCAGCCTTGCCTCCTACTGACACCCCCCAAACTGGGATTGCTCCCCCAGCACCAGGCAGGATGACTTCTTCATCCTCCACGAGAAGGACGCCGACAACTTCTTGGAGTCCATCTTCAAGACGGAGCTGATCAGCCTGTTGTGCAAACGCTTCGAGGAGCTCACCCGCTCCAAGCTACCCCTCTCCTTCAAGGACACGTAAGAATGGGGGCCAGGAGAGGTGACAAAGCAGGACAGGGCCCTGTCACCGTGCTGTAATGGTCCCCTCTCTCCCACAGACTACAGTTTCGGGTGAAGAAGGAGGGCTGGGGCGGTGGTGGCACCCGCAACGTCACCTTCATCAGAGGACAGGGCGACGTGGCCGCCCTCAAGGCTGGAGGCAAAACCCTTACGGTCAGCATCGGGGATGGGCTCCCCAGGAATGCCAGTGAGTGCCAGGGCACCCAGGGGGTGGCAAGGGGGGCACACAGGAGCGCTGGGGCTGCAGGGCACAGCTGGAGGCCTGGGAATATCGGGGTGAGCCAGTGCGTGCCCGGCCCTGCTGGGTTTGCGTCTCACCCAGGAGGGACCCATTGGGGTGATGGGGCAGCACGGGGGGCTTTGGGGAACAGGACAGCTGGGTAGAAATGGGGGAGAAGCCCCCTCAGCTGGCTCTGAGGACCATCAACTAACGGGGGGCTTGTGTCCCCCCAGAGCCCACAAGGAAGGGGGCAACGCAGAGCAGAGGTGGCAGCAGGCTCCCAGCACCCTCCCGGACCGCCCCACCAGCACCCAGAGGTGAGGAGGGGGGTGCCAGGGAGGAGACCCCAGCCTGGATCCAGCCAGTGCTGCACTCCCAGAGGGTGCAGGCTGAGCAGGGACCCCCCCTAATGCACCATCCTGGGACGGGATCTTCCAGGAGCCTGCAGGAACGGGGCACCCCAGTTCCCACAGGGCGATGGGCGGCCACAGAGGGACACTTACAAGACCCCCCAGAAGCAGACACGGGGCCCACCGGCCACAGCACTTCTCCCCCGGAACACTGGCCACCAGCCCAGGACATCCAGGCCCCCATCTGAGCACAACATGGATTTCCTCAACGTGCCTGACCAGGGAGTGGCTGGGTAGGTCCTGTCCCATGTCCTACTCCCTGACTTATCCTCCCCTCCCACTGCCACCAGTGCCAGGAGATGCTCTTTCCCCTTTGAGGAGCAGACCAGGTTGGGGCAACCTGCCTTTGCTGGCAGGACACATCTCCCAGGCTCTTGTGCATCCCAGTTCTCCCAGTCCCTGCACTGGGAGGACCCACCCAGTGCTGCAGAGACAGAGCATCCCAGGGATGTGGGATGACAGGATGGGAAGGAGGGAGCAGCACATCCTGCCTCAGTTCTCCCAGTCCTTGCACTGGGAAGACCCATTTGCAGGTCTCATGGCTGTGGGACAGCAGGATGGAAAAGGAGGGTGCAGAGTATCCCAGCCCAGTTCTCCCAGTCCCTGCACTGGGAAGACCCATCTGAAGGCACAGGGCATCCCGTGGGTAGGTGACAGCAGGATAGGAAAGGAGGGTGCAGAGCATCCCAGCCCAGTTCTCCCAGTCCCTGCACTGGAAGACCCACCTGCAGGCACAGAGCACCCCGTGGGTGTGGAGCAAAAGGATAGGAAGGAGGGTGCAGAGCATCCTGGCCCAGTTCTCTCAGTCCCTGCACTGGGAGGACCCACCTGCAGGCACAGAGCATCCCAATGGGTGTGGGGCAACAGGATGGGGAAGGAGGGAGCAGCACATCCCGGCCTAGTTCTCCCCAGTCCCTTCACTGGGAGGACCCACCCGCGCTGCAGACACGGAGCATCCCAGGGGTGCGGGAGGGCAGGACGGGAAAGGAGGGAGCAGCAGCACCCCACACACCCTCCTGCCCTGCTGGTATGGACCCCATTTGTCCCCCCATGCCCCCAGGATGCAGCGCCGGCGCAGTGTGAGCCAGAGGCCACCCCCAGCCCGCCGGCCCAAGGCCCAGCCCAAGGCGGCCGTGCCACGGTGCCAGGCGCTCTACCAGTACGTGGGGCAGGACGTGGACGAGCTCAGCTTCAACGTGGGGGACATCATCGACATCCTGCTGGAAGGTACCAAAACCTCTTGGCCTTGCCCAGCGTCTCTCCCCGCTGTGGCAGTGCTCCCCCACCCCTGACCTGTGCTGGTTTTCCCCCTTCCCAGATATCTCGGGCTGGTGGAAAGGCCGCCTGCACGGCAGGGAAGGGCTTTTCCCCGGGAACTACGTGCAGAAGATCTGAGCTGGGCGCAGCGACCACGGGGCTGGGGGCGAGGAGGGGGTCAGCACCCTCCCAGCCCACCTCTGGGAGGATGTGCCACATGGATCCATGGTAGTTCTCCACCGTTTTTTATGGAGGGAGCTCTTCCCGCTCCCCGGACTGTGTCGGTGCCAAACGCTGAATCCCACAGCTGCTTTAGCTGGTGGCATTCCCACGGCAAGGACGGGCTCTTTGCTGCTTGTTCATACCCTGGGACTGAAACTATCATGGGGTATAAATGGGATTGTTGTTAATAATTATGGTAAACAGCCAGACTCGGCAAATCCCACTCAGAAATTTGGTTTGGGGGTTGTGTTTCACACCGATGCCATCCTGGGGCTCCCCCTGGCCCCGTGACAAGAGCTGCAGTGCGGGCAGACACTTATGGGAGGCAGCCCCATTCCACCCACACTGAACCCTCCAGAAGAGGTTGAATACAGAAACCAGCTCCCCCAGGAATTCAGCTCAGGCACCTCCACGTCCTGGCATGGCTCTGGATCACTCACAGCCGGTGGGAGCTGCCAGGGCAGCGGCAAAGCAGGACCGGGGCACCATCACCAATCCCTGATTTCTCACAGGAAAAGCTCCAAGGATCGATTAGACAAAGCCCACGGAGCTGTGACATCTTTCTCTGATGGTTGTCAGAGGGGTGCTGCCCCCCCCCCTCCCCCGGTTTGCAGAGTGGGGGTCTCATCTATGGGGGGCCAGGGTCGATGCGTGGGGTGGAAACCACCATCCTTGGGATTCAGGGACGCTCTACATCCCGAACTCCCAGGACGGGATTTGGGGATGCTCTCCACCCCAAACCCACGGGACAGTGGGACAGCTGTGGCCGGGTGGGGGGTTTTGGGTGGGGGCTGATTCCGACCCAAGGCTGTTCCAGGAGGTTTGCAGCAGGGGAAGGGATGGACGGGGCCGACATCTCAGGGCTCGTGTCTGCCTTTTCCCCCACCCCCTTCCCGCCCCCTCCCGCCGGGGGAAGTGACGACAGCCGTGATCCCACATGGCCCTGCCTCAGCATCACATCCCAGCCCTCCTCTTCCTCCCTGCCGCTTCCCGCTGCCCCAGCACGCACATTACCCGTGTCCCACAGACGGGACCTCTGGGGTGGGGGTGGCAGAGGGATGGGAAGTCTCCCTTGACTCCACACTGAAAACGGTTCTTTCCCCCCCCTCCCCCGGCCCAATATGGGGAATTACCACCCCTGTGGTCCTTGGCGTGATTTTTCCTGTAAATCACATGTTATTACGAGTCCTTGCACTGCAAAGCTTTTTTTTTTTTTTTTTTTTTCCCTTTGGTGGGGCGGTGGGAGAAGGCAGAGCATTTGTTTTTATTTTAATGAAAAAATGGCTTTGGAAACTCGGGGGATTTAGGAAACTCCTTTCCTGCACATTCCAGCCCTTCCTTGGGACTGAAGTTGGGGGAATGGGGGCAGCACCCCAGCAGTGGGTGCTGTCAAGTGGGATGTTCCCATTCCACCCTGCAGGCAGGTAGGAGTTGGACCGGCTCAGGCACTCACTGGGATGTTCCAGACGGCTTCAGGGGCTCTGAGGGGCTCAGAGGTCTCTCAGGAGTTTTGGGGTCTCTCAGGAGCTCCAGTTGTTCTGTGGGTCCTGGAAGCCCCAAGGGGCTTGGGCTACTCTTGGGACCCACTCAGGAGCTGACAGGGAGTCCCAGGAGTCCAGGGTGTTCCAAGGGTGTCCCAGAGGGCCCTGGGATGCTCTAAGGGGGATCAGAGTGCCCTGAGAGGTTTGGGGGGCTCCAAAAGGCTTGGGGTACCCTGGAATGCTTCAAGGGGTCCAGGGCTTCCCAAGGGGCTTGGGGTGCTCTGAGGGCTGTGGGATTCCATGAAGGTCCCCAGGATGCCCTGAGGATTCAGGAGGAGCCCCCTTGGGGTGCTCCAAAGCCCTGAGATGCTCCGAAGGCCCTGGGATGCTCTAAAAGCTCCAGGATGCTCAGAGACCACTGGGATGCTCTAAAGCCCCAGGATGCTCCAAAGCCCGCGGGGTGCTCCAGAGGCCCTGGGGATGCTCCAAGGCCCCCAGGATGCTCCGAAGGTTCTGGGATGCTCCAAAGCCCCCAGGATGCTCTGACAGTCTCCCCCGCCGTCCCCCCCTCCCCGCTGCTCCGAAGCCGCGGGATGCTCCAAACCCTGGGGATGCTCCGAACCCCCCGGGATGCTCCCACCTCCCTCGGGCGTTGGGATGCGGGGTGGGTGGAATCACCCGGGAAAAACAGGCGGGGGGACGGACACCGGGGCGGGGCCGTGCCGGGTTCCCCCCGCGGCCCCCGCTCCCTTTCCGCACGCTCCTTCCTCCCTCCCCCCCGCCATCCTCCTCCTCCTCCTCCTCCTCCTCCTCCTCCCCCCGCTCTCGCGACAGCTCCGCACAGAAAATGGCCCCGCGGCCGCCCCGCCGCTGATGCGCGACCCGGGCGGCGCCGCAGCCCCGGTACGACCGGGAGGGACCGGGAGGGACCGGGAGGGAGCACCTGGTACCGGGGGGCCGGGACAACGAGGGGCGGCACCGGGAAGGGAGCGCCGATATTGGGGGTTCACGGGTAGCGGGGATGGACCGGCACCGGCGAGGGGGGACTGGCACCGGGGGGACCGGCACCGGAGGGATGGACCGGTATCGGGGGGTGTACCGGTATATGGGGGTGTACCGGTATATGGGGGGTGTACCGGTGTATGAGGGATGTTCCGGTATCGGGGGATGTACCGATATATGAGGGGTGTACCGGTATATCGAGGGGGTGTACCGGTATATGTGGGGTGCACCGGTATATGAGGGGTGTACCGGTACCGGGGGATGTACCGGTATCGAGGGGTGTACCGGTATATGAGGGGTGTACCGGTATCGGGGGCTGGAGCGGCACCGGGGGGATGTAGAGGCACCGGGGATGGAGCGGCACCGGTGGATATACCGATATACCGATATCGGGGGCTGTACCGGCACCGGGGGGAGCACCGGACACCGGTCCCTCGTGGGGCTGGGGCCGGCAGGGAACCGAGCGGGGGGGCTGCACCGGGAAAGGAGCATCAGCACCGGTATCGGGGGATGTACTGGCACCGGGGGGATGCAGCGGCACCGGGGTCGGACCGGCACACAGCGGGTGTAGCGGTACTGGGGGCTGTGCTGGCGCCGGGAGATGTGATTTATCGGTACCGGGAGCTGTCCCGTCACCTGGGACAGCATCGGCACCGGGGATATACCGGCACGGGGGTGCACAGGCAGCGGGGGCTTCATCGGCACCGGGGGGATGGAGCAGCACCTGGGAATGTACCGGCATCGGGGAGGGAGGTACCGGTACACGAGGGGTACACCGGCGTGGGGGCTGTACCGACACCAGGGGCTGTGCTGACACTGGGGATGTACTGGGGGGAGGTACCAGTGCATGGGGTGGACCAGCACTGTAAACCTGTTCCTGAAGGGAGCTGAGACCTGCACCAGGGGGGCACCAGCCATGGGGCTGCTCCCCACGGGGGCTCCAGACCCCGGGGGGGATGGTGTGATTCCCGTGGCTCTACTACCCCCAGGAATAGTAGCCATGGGTGTATGGTTGCCCGTGGGGGGGGCTACAAAAACCACTGCCCGTGGGGGGCTACCCAGTGGGGCTGGAACCCATGGGGTTACCTGTGGGGCTCGTAGCCCAGGGACAGCTGGCCATGGAAGCCATGGAGCCCCGGGTCTTTTCAGCCTTGTGGGAGCACCAGGGCGCCCCAGGTATCCCAGGATGCACCTGCTGGGATCTCCTCGTGGTCCTTCCATATTCCCACACCCGTGGGAGCTGCTTTGTTGCTGTCAGAGCTGGGGAATGCCACTGCTGGAACGAGGGGGCTTCTGGCCTTGGCTATGCTGTGAACTTGGCTGGGGCCAGCCAGGAGTGCTGCTCAGGAACAGCTTTATCCAGGCTCAGGCATGAAGCTTCAACCTCCCCAGGCAGCTCCCAAAGGGAAAGACGTGGGGTTTTTTTCCAGCTGCAGAGCTGATGTAGCTGTGGGTGGATCAGCCAGCCATGGGCAGGCAGGTAAAGGTGAGCACCAGGATGGTGTGGGGGTTGGGGGAAATGGCAGCAGGGCTCTTCCCCATTCAATGGCTTGGAGCAAGCTGGGGGGATGGAGGAAGCTGGGGGGATGGAGCAAGCTGGGGGGATGGCAGGGACCCCAGGCTGCCCAGGGCAGCTTTGCAGGAAGAAGGGCCTCAGCTGAGCTGCCCCCACATCCACCCCAGGGATGTGGCACCGAGGCCATGCATGAGGCTCAGCGCTCACCCCTGTGGATGTCCGTGCTGTCACTGGGCTCAGGATGGGCTCCTCAGGCTCTCCAGGCAGATTCTCTGGGTTGGAAAGTGGGAAAAACACCCTGGGAGGTGCAAAACACTGAGGCAGAGGCTTTGCCCCAGGCTGGAGCAGGATTAGGGCATCACAGCACCACAAAAACACCCGGAGCTTTTTCCCCCCACCAACACCCCAGCTCTTTGAGGGCTCCTCGTGATATCTGAAGGCACCAGGAGGATTCACAGCGTGTATTTTAATGCAGGACATGGGTTTGAACCCAGTGCTGGGGGCTGGTGGCGCTGGCAGGAGTCGATGCCGCTGGCACAGCCGGAGCTTCCTCCCTCCACGCTCGCCGGCTGCGATCACATGAGCCCCTTGTTCCCAGCCTTTGTCTCCTCTCCCACGCTGAGGAGCTGCCTGGGGAAGCCTCCTCACCCTCATCCTCATCCTCTGGCCTCAGAGCACACACGGAGATGCTCAAATCGGATTATTTGTCCCGTTTATCCTCCCTGGGTGGGTTTATAGGAGTCTTGGGGATGTGGATAAACCCCCTTCCCTCCCCCTCCCCCGGATCGCTGGAGGGAGATGAGCTGTATTAATTATTCACTGATTCAGCAACAGAGCCTGCTCGGGGTGACCAGCAGCTGCAAAGCCTCCTGCTCACCCTCGTGGCTTAAAGGATTTTTTGGGGTGCCAGGGGTCGGAGTGAGGGGGTTTGGTGTCAGCAGGTTTTTGGGGAGACTGAACCTGTGGCAGGAACACCCTGGGAATAGTGACAGGTGGCTCTGGGAGTTGGGTTTCCAGGGCAGGTTTGCACTGGTGTTGAGGGGGGGTCAGATCTCTGGGAGAATCACATTTCTTGGGGGGGGTGTCCCATCTCTGGGGGGGTCACATCTCTGGTGGCCACAGGAGGTCACTGGGGACAGGGGACAGGGGCAGTGGCTCCTGGACGAGAGTGTCGCTCTCAGAGTTGCAGAACAGAAGGTCCTGGAGGATGGGAAGTGTTGGCCACTGTCCCACGGGAGGTGACAAATGACACAGCAAGATGACACAGGTGCCACCTGCTCCCCAAAAACCTGTCCCTGGGCCGAGCCCAGCGTGATGCTGGGGTGCCCCCATCGTGTCCTCTGTGTCCATCCTGCCTGCCCTCCTGGGGTCTGCCCGTAGCATCTGCTCAGGAGGCATTTTTCCAGCTTTTCCAGAGGAAAAAATATCAGCTTAAAATGTGTCAGGGGTATTGCCTGTAAGTGGGAAATGGAGAGAGGCATCAAAGGAGAGGAGAGGGTTTCCAACATCCAAAGGCTGTTGGTTTGACCCTGGGGAGCTCCCTACCCAGGGGTTCACAGCCCTGCTGCGATGCTGCTGAGGAAGAATTTCCTGGTTTCTTGGAAAAACTTCCCTGTGCTCCCACTGAGCTCCCAGTGCCATGGGCGTCCTGCTCCTTTAAATGGCTGGTCTGGAGGCCATCGATCCCCCGGCAGGAGCTGTCAACCCAGGCAGTGGCAGCCAGGATTGATCCAGAGCTGGTGATTCCAGCAGGGAAGCAGGAACCTGGTTCACTGATCCCAAGGACTGACACTGCCAGGAAATGCTCCAGCAGCTCCGAAGCTCTGACACTTCAGGCAGAGACATCCCTGGGCAGGCAGACACAGCCCTGCCTCCACCCTTTTAGTGATTTCTCCCCCTAGAAAAGATTCCCAAGACCTTTTTTTCCCCAAAAAAATTTCATTTCCCCCTGATAAAACAAAGCTCCATCGAAGCTGCAGTGAAGTTTCTGCTCAGTGTTTACCCACAGTCACACAGAGGTGAAGGATGGAGATGGAGCATCCCCTCCAACCAGGCCTGGATTTCCCCTCCTGGGACATGATCAGCCCCAAATTCCCTGCTCCATGGCCAGCTGATCCCGGCCTGGGTGCTGATTCCATCCCAAAGCCACCGAGCTGAGAAAACAACAACAACAAAAAGCAACACAACCCCCAGACAAAGCCTGGAGCAGCCACAGGAATAATCCCACATGGATTTCGCCCCCCTCCTCTTGATTTTTTGCCTGCTGGGCTGCGATCCCAATGTGCTGGGTGCTGCAGGAACAGCTGCTGAGCCCTGCTGGGTGAGACCCCCCAGAGCTAAAAGCTGGGAGAATGCCTCTGGAGCAGATGATAACAGCAAGGTCTGGCCAGGCTGGGAGGGATGGGATGCACCACACAGCAGTGCTGATCCCCAGGGAGATTCCCCAGGGATGTTTGCTTCAGGAGTCATTGAGCTCTTGGGGAAATATTGACCTTCTAAATAGTGGCCAATGTGCTCGTGGCAGCCACTCCACAGCCCAAGCACTGATGATATTATTATTATTATTATTATTATTATTATTATTATCAGCTTTATTATCGTTATCAGGATTTTTACCATTTTTATTGTTATTATTTTATAATTTTCTCCTTATTTTCATCATTGCTTATTATTTATTAACACTATTGTTATTACCATTATTATTATTGTTATTGTTATTATTATTATTATTTCCTTTTTCACTTTGACATTAAGCCACTATTGAGAAATCTCCCAAAGTGGAGGGTTTTTTGTGGATGCTTTTCACTGGGAATTAGTGTTTGGTTTTTCCACGTTGTAAGCCTTGTACCAAGGTGTGCTGAGGCCAAGCCAATGTAATTTTGGGGACCAGGAACTGTCCCCACATGCCAAACAGCATCTCCTGGTCATGCAGTGGGACCTGCTGCTTCTCTCAGCTGGAAAATCCTTTGGAACTGTGTGTGTGGGAGCATCCAGTGAGCAGGGAGGGGCTGGAGCAGCTCCAGCAATCCCTTCAGCGGTGCCTTGGCAGGGGGGGCCTGTAGTTTGGGAGGAATTTTTGGATATACAGATGCCATGGGCTGGGAACAAAGCAGGGTCCTGGTGATGCCTGGGGGGGGACCTTTGGGGACTTTGTGGATCACCCTGGGGTGGGAGAAGCAGGAGGGGACGATGAAGCTCTGAGTCCAAAGCCTCCCCCCGGGCAGAGACACTTCCAAGGCCCCTTGAAGTCATGATGATGTTCTGCTGGCTTGGTCCCCAGGGTGGGAGGGCTGGTCCCAAGGCCACAGAGCACTGAGAGGAGGAGGAGGAGGAGGAGGAGGAGGAGGAGGAGGAGGGGAGGATCTGACCTCTCGCCCTTGCTCTCGGTGCAGCATCACCAGGAGGAGCCTCCGTGGGCACATCCCTCACCCCGTGCCCTGCACTGGCCAGGCCATGAAGACAGAGAAGGACGAGGCTGTGCCCACCTTCTCCCTGCGGGGTAAATACGGTGGAGAGGGGGCAGGTGAGTCCCCTGTGCCACGGGGTGGGGAGAGGATTCAGGGCAGGAGCAGGGGGAGAAGCCTTTGGTGCCATTGCTGTGAGGTCCCTTTGGCCAAATCCCGCCCCAGAGGTGGGTGGGAGCACCGTGGGGATGTGTACAGATGTGCATGGGTGTGCTTGGATATGCACAGGTGTAGAGGGGACGTGCAGGATTCTTGGCGTGCCCTGTGCAGGGCCAGGAGTTGGGCTCAGTGATCCTGGTGGGTCCCTCCCGACTTACCCTATTCTGTGATTCTTTGAGTGTGCAGGGATGGGCCCAGGATGTGCAGGGATGGGTTAGGGTGTGCAGGGATGGACCCAGGTGAACACCTGGCATCGCCCAGTGTGTTCCAGTCACCACCAGGCTTCACCTTCACACCACCAGCTTTTCCTGCAGCAAAGCTCCTCCCAGCTCTCACACCCTGGAGGGCTCCAGCCCCTCCAGCCACACCTCCTGTACCCTCCATTGGCTGCCCCCCTATTTTTGAGGGAGGGAGGGGGGCAGAGGGAGGTGGTTGGGCAGGGCTGAGCCCTGTCCCTGTCTCACGGTGTCTCCCCACAGGCTGCAGCGAGGTGGCTCTGCCCGGTGCCCCGATGCCGGTGGCCGGAGGGACCCCAGCCCAGGACCTGCGGCCCCTGAAGCGCAGACCTGTCCCAGGTGAGCCCCAGCCCTGCCCCAGGGAGGAGACAGTGACAACCAGGGCAGGGACGAGGCCAACAGATCTGTCTCCTTCCAGGAAAGCACTACCAGTGCTCGAGCTACGGCTGCAAACTGGCCTTCCCCAGCATGCAGGAGCTGATGGACCACTTGAAGGTCCACTACAGACCCACACAGTCCCTCGAGGGTAAGGCCAGGACACCCCACATGCTCCTTTTTTTGTCTGGGAGGGGGCAGAGCGGGGCTCGAAGCAGGGGCAGCCCTGGTGGTGGTGCTGGTACCTCCAAGAGATGGGAGTGGAGGGTGGTGTGGGAAGTGCTGGAGACCCACCAGTGGGGCTGTTCCCAGCTGGGGTGGTGCTGACTCCCTTCCTCTCTGAATTTCTTCACTCAGGCAAAACCTTCCACTGCCCCACACTGGGCTGCACCGAGACCTTCCCCAGCATGCAGGACCTCATGGCCCACATGAAGGTGCACTACAAGCCAAACCGCTACTTCAAGTGAGTCCCTCTGCTCCCTGTCCCCATCCCACCTCCTCCCTTTGGGGAGGATCACCTGGCTGAGCCCAGTGAGCCCCGAGCGCGTGGGCTCCCAAATCCACAGCCCCCCATCCCAGCGGCAGCCCCCGGGGTTGGGATGATGGGGACGACATGGAGGGACCATTGTGGGGGCGACATGGAGGGAGCACCACCACTGAGGGTGCCTCCCCCAAATTCCCACCCACCTCCCCCCAGGTGTGAGAACTGCCTGCTGCGCTTCCGAACACACCGCTCCCTCTTCAAGCACCTGCACGTCTGCTCCGACAGCGCCAGCACCCCCGCGCCGCCCCCCAGAGCCGACAAGCCCGTCCTGCCTCCTGCTACCTCCGCCCCGGACAAGGAGCCCCCGGCCAAGCCGCCCCCCGAGGGGCTCCCCAAGCTCCCGAGCGCTCTGCCGAGGCCCCTGGAGAAGGAAGCCCTCCTGCCCGGCGCGGACTCTGCCGCGGCGCCGGCCGCGCTGCCCACCAGCCTGCCCGAGCTGCCCGGCTCGCTCGAGGCGCTGCCGCTGGTGCCGCCGGCCCCCCACCCCTTCCCGCTGCTGGAGCCCGGCCTTTTCGGCCCTTCGTCCTTGACTCGGTTCTCGGGGCCACCCCCGTCCTCGGTGCCGGGGCCGTTCCTGTCCTACGTGCCCCCCTCGCCCTACGCGTTGCCCCAGCCCCCGGCGCAGCATCGTCTGCGGCCCTTCCTGCCGGGCCACGGCCCCGCCGTGTCCAACGCCGTCTGGAAGAAAAGCCAAGGTGAGCGTTCAGGCAAAAAAAAAAAAAAAAACCACCAAACAAACCTTCTTCTGCTCCCGCCTTCACCAGCAGCTCTCCCGGAGGAGGACCCGCCGCCGCCGCCCAGCCGAGCATCCATCCCCCTCCTCCGGGGCCTCCCCGGCCCGCCCTCCCCACGCCCCGAGGCCCGTCCCATCTCCGCCGCCCCCTCCATCCATGTTCAATTGGGACAAAGCACCGGCGACCACCAAAAAGAAAAAAAAAACCAAAAACAAAACCAAAAAGCCTCCAAATTTTCCCGGCCCTGCTGCTCCCCGGCGTGCTGGGGGTGCGAGGCGGGGGGGCCAGGCCAGGCCTGCCCTCCCACGTGTCCCCCCACCCCAGGGAGGGGAGGACCTAATGCTTGTCTTGCCCCTCGATTCCCTCCGCAGGTGTGAGTGTCAGCCCACTCCTCCCATGCTTTGGCTCAGGAGTGACTCCAGGTTAGTTTGGCACCTACTGGTTGGGGGCTGCTTTCTGTCACTGGGGGGGTTTGGGGGCGGCGGGGGGGCCACAGGGGGATGGGAGAGGCCCCACGGGGCACCACGGTGCTCCACGGAGAGCAGAGGGGGAGGGCAGGCTCCCTCCATTCTTTTTGGGAGCCACACAGAGAGGGGATGCGGCCCAGGTAGGCTCGGAGGCAGGGGGGTCGCTGGCTGTGCCCCCCCAAAACCCCCTAGCCCTGTCCCGAGGGCAGAAGCAGCAGGATGAGGAGCTGCAGCAGCTGCGTGGGCTCCAGTCCCCCCAGTTCCCCCAGTCCTGAGGCCAAACTGGAACCCTTCGCTCCGTGGGGCGCGGAGAGGAGACATTCACGAGGGGAGGTCGTGGCCGGGGGTGGGGGGAGGGGGCACAGCCTCGCTCCCTGCTCCCAGATTTGGGGTCCCTCCCTCGGGAAGGGAACCCTCTGTGCATGTGGGGCTGGGAGCCCCCCACGGCACCCGGGAGCGGCCGCCGGGGGTGGTCCCTGTGCTTCCCTGCCCGCCCGTCCTTGCAGGGCACTCCTCCAACAGCCGCATCGTGTGGGAGCACACGCGGGGCCGCTACTCCTGCACCCAGTGCCCCTTCTCGGCCGCCTCCCGCGAGGAGATGACCCTGCACATCGAGGACCACCGCAAGAACCCCCCGCCCGGGCGCCTGGACGCCGAGATGGGTACGGGAGGGGACCCCCGAACTGCCGGGATGCTCGCGGGAATGGGCGCGGTCTGTCCCCCAGGGATAATGCGGATCCCCCTCCCTCGGTCCCGGCTGGGGGTGACCGGCCCTGGGTTAGATCCTGGGCCGCAGCAATGCCCCGGGGGTGGGGGTGGTCGTGTGTCCTCTCCGTGCCGTCCAGCCCCTGGTTCCCCAGCCCACAGCAGTGCCCGTGGGGCTCTGTGTGCTCTCCCTGTGCCCCCCAGTCCCTGCATTGCCACAGGAGGGGGGTCCGTGTGCCCTCCCTGTGCCCCCCAGCCCACATCAATGATCTGGAGGGGTCCGTGTGCCCTCCCAGTGCCTCCCCCCCAGCCCCTGCAATGTCCCGGGGAGGGCCATGTGCCCTCCCTGCAGCCTCCAGCCCCCGAGCCCCCAGGGCACGAGGGGCTCCACGGTGCTGACAGCTCTCCCCCCTCTCCCTGCAGATTTCGGGGTGGGTCTCGCCTCCTTCCACGCCAAGCTGACGCCGGAGATGGAGAACTCCCTGTACTCCCAGCTCTGATGCCCCGGCTCCCACGGGACTGCTCCTGCTCCTGCTCCTCCCCGTGCCTCCCCCCGAGCCGGGCAGGGGGCACCGCCCAGCCCCTGCCACTGGGCTGGGACAGGGATCCCTCCCTGGGCACCGGGAGCACCCCCAGCCCAGCCCGGGGTGCCAGAGGAAGGGGCGTTTCCTCTGGAATTTTCTCCCCTCCCTTTTATTTTCGGAAACTCTTAAGCCACCCGGACCCCCTCGTTCTCCCTCCCCCTAAAGGTTTCGTTGCTTCAGCCCCCGTGGCTCTGGGGGGAGCCCGGTAGGTTGCTCAGGAGTTAGTGGACTTCTCTGGAATGAGACCTCGGAATAATAAATGGGAATTGTACAGGAGTGGCGGCCGGGAGAGGCTCTGTCGGTGCCTGTGGCGGCTGGGGGTGATGGGGGAGTGGGGCCACCCCTAAGGATGCCCCCCCAAAACTAAAGGAGGGGAGGATGGGGGGATACAGAGAGATCTGTGTGTCACTCTGCTCTGGGCAGGTTTTGGGGAAGAGGAAGGCTCGAGGAAGGGGAAGGGGGTGCTTCCTTCCCCCTCTCATCTGTCAGCACGTGGCAGACCATGAAGGGCTCCTGAGAAGCAGAGCTGGAGCCTCTGCCGGCTGCATCCCAGCACCCAAACTGGGCATCCAAACTGGGCACCCCAGCCCCCCGCCAGCCTCGGTGCCTGTGCCAGTCCTGCCACAGGCAGAGGTGCCAGGAAAAGGGCATGAACAACCTTTGGGGTGGAGCAGTGCCTCCGTGCCCGGCCCTGAGGGGGCTGCACCCCCCGTGGGAGCCCAGCGGCCCCACGTTCCCAGCCCGGGGCTCCCCAGGCCCCGCTTTGCCTGATCCCATCCCAGCAGGGTGAAAAGTTTGCTCCAAACTGGTTTGGGGAAGGCGTGCTGGGGCAAGCTGGGACGTGCTGGTGCCCACACCAGCCCTGGGATGGGAGCCGTGGGAGCACCCCCTGCTCTGCACCCCAGGGTCGGGGGCTGCTGCAGCCCCGGGAAGGGACACAGCCCTGGGATGGGGCTCAGGGGGTCCCGTTGACCCCCTGGCCAGGCTGGGCATCCCTTCCTCCTGTTGGGATCCCTGCACAGGGAGAGCAGCACCCTGGGATGTCCCAGCTCTCTCCTCCTGTCACCTGTGTATTGGGTGGGCTCACGGCATGGGGGGCTGTGCCCCTGTGCCCTCCCCAGTCCAGCACAGACCCCCCTCAGCCCAGCCCTGAGCAGGGGGTGGGCACACAGAAGTGTCCCTGAGCTGTAGCCGTGGCTGCTGAGGCCTGGCAGAGTGACAGCTCCTCACAGAGCCAGTGCAGGGTCAATCAGAGCCCTGGTGAGGGGAGGGACCCCCCAGTTTCCCAGAGTGGGGGGCACTCTGGCACAGCTCCCTGCAGGCACAGGCAGCTCCCCTGGCCCCCCAGCCCACATTCCTCCTCCAGGGCAGGTGCCCACCCTAAAAGGCAGCAGTGGGACCCTTCCCAACCTGTCCCTGACCCTGACCCAGCTACAGCCACCTCCGAGGGCAGAGAGGGCAGGTCCTGCAGGCACAGTCCCTGCTGGGACTCCACACCGGGATGGTCTGAGCCACCCCACACCCCTGCCATGTCCCCACCAGACGCCCCTCCAGGGCTCAGAGCCAAACACGGGGACAGGGAGCACTCACTGCTCCCAGGGGAGGCTCAAACCCACCCCAAACCTCCCACTCCGAGCACTCCTGGCTGTTCCCAGGGCAGAGGCAGCCAAGACAACCCCCATTGCAATGGATTTTTAAAAACTGAAGTCTTTATTAAAGTTTTATCCAAATTTTGTAACAAAAGATACAAAAGGGCTGGAGATCCTTATTTCTGGGACTAGTCTGACCAATCAAAACCTGACAGTTACTAGGCTAATATAAAATCCATACAATCTGCTAAAAATGCAGGGAGAAAAAAAAAAAAAATTAGAACTGCTGCTCTGACATTTCTTTTTTTTTTTTTTTTTTTTTAAATTCCTTAAAACATTTATAAGTTACTCAGTTTGCATTTTACAGGATTAGTTCTTCTCCGAATGGTTACAGCGACTGTACAATGCAAGAGACAACAGCGAGGACAAAAAGAGCGACGGGATGTGCTGCAAACACACACACACACCACTCCTCGGAGGGAAGAAGGGCTGGAGTCTCGGGATGGCCCGGAGCACCCACCGGGAATGCCACAAAGTGCCAGTGCGTGTCTGCACCCGTGGGAGCCCCGACAGCAGGACAGCAGTGACCCCCCCCCCAAACACACACCCCACCCACCCAGCACCCAGCAGGGACCACCCCCGGGTGCCACAGGGCCAGTTCTCCCAAGGGATGTGCTGGCTGGACACCTCCAGGAAGAGGGAAGGTGGGAATGGGGTTGGGAATGCTCCTGGCAGGATCCCCCCAATCCTCCTTCCAGCGCCCGCGGGGTGAAGGGACACAGCCCCCCCCCCACTGAGGGGAGAGCTGGAATTCTGCTCCGTGCTGGGAAGGGAGGAGGAGGAGGATGCAATGCCAGGCTGTCCAGAGCTGGCACTGGCTGGCAGAAGGACCCTGAGAATTCACAGGCTAACACGGTCTCCGGGGAACGCCGAGTTAGGAGCATCACAGTGATAGTGGCTGTTCTGTACAGTGAGAAATGGAGTCTGATGGAAGTGCAGTATCCCTTCACCTGCATTTCCTATCCCATCCCAAAGGCTGCCCTGCAGGAGCCTCACCACAGCAAAGACAAAAACCCGACCCACCCGGACATCCAGGTGATGGTTTTTTTAGGTGGCCACTGGGAAAAATATTCCAGTTTATCAAATAAAATAGGAAAGCAAGTGCAGGGCTACTGCAAGGTGCAGAGTCAGAGGTACCAGGTCATGCAAGCAGCTCCCCCTCCCCTCCCCAAGACCCCCTCCCCAGCACTTAAAGCATCTTCAAGCATGTCCAGAGATCACAATCACCATGATTTCAGATCAGAGACACCCTCAGGGATCGTTTTCGCTCAAGTCCACGGAGATGAACCAGATTTTGCACCCAAGGTGGCTCAAGAGTCTTCAGTGAGCTGGTCAGAGGGATGGCAAAGGCCTTCAGTGCTGGCTGGGTGTGAGCTGGAGCTCTGGATCCAGTGTGGCACAGCTGATTTGGGACACAAAGATCTCAGTTTGCATTTTACAGGATTAGTTCTTTCTCCGAATGGTTACAGCGACTGTACAATGCAAGAGACAACAGCGAGGACAAAAAGAGCGACGGGATGTGCTGCAACACACACACACACCACTCCTCGGAGGGAAGAAGGGCTGGAGTCTCGGGATGGCCCGGAGCACCCACCGGGAATGCCAAAGTGCCAGTGCGTGTCTGCACCCGTGGGAGCCCCGACAGCAGGACAGCAGTGACCTCCCAAACACACACCCCACCCACCCAGCACCCAGCAGGGACCACCCCCGGGTGCCACAGGGCCAGTTCTCCCAAGGGATGTGCTGGCTGGACACCTCCAGGAAGAGGGAAGGTGGGAATGGGGTTGGGAATGCTCCTGGCAGGATCCCCCCAATCCTCCTTCCAGCGCCCGCGGGTGAAGGGACATGGCCCCCCCCCCACTGAGGGGAGAGCTGGAATTCTGCTCCGTGCTGGGAAGGGAGGAGGAGGAGGAGGAGGATGCAATGCCAGGCTGTCCAGAGCTGGCACTGGCTGGCAGAAGGACCCTGAGAATTCACAGGCTAACACGGTCTCCGGGGAACGCCGAGTTAGGAGCATCACAGTGATAGTGGCTGTTCTGTACAGTGAGAAATGGAGTCTGATGGAAGTGCAGTATCCCTTCACCTGCATTTCCTATCCCATCCCAAAGGCTGCCCTGCAGGAGCCTCACCACAGCAAAGACAAAAACCCGACCCACCCGGACATCCAAGTGATGGTTTTTTTTTAGGTGGCCACTGGGAAAAATATTCCAGTTTATCAAATAAAATAGGAAAGCAAGTGCAGGGCTACTGCAAGGTGCAGAGTCAGAGGTACCAGGTCATGCAAGCAGCTCCCCCTCCCCTCCCCAAGACCCCCCCCTCCCCCAGCACTTAAAGCATCTTCAAGCATGTCCAGAGATCACAATCACCATGATTTCAGATCAGAGACACCCTCAGGGATCGTTTTCGCTTCAAGTCCACGGAGATGAACCAGATTTTGCACCCAAGGTGGCTCAAGAGTCTTCAGTGAGCTGGTCAGAGGGATGGCAAAGGCCTTCAGTGCTGGCTGGGTGTGAGCTGGAGCTCTGGATCCAGTGTGGCACAGCTGATTTGGGACACAAAGATACCCTAAAGGAGGAGATTTTTTTTTTCTCTTTTTTTTTTTCTTTTGGATTTTTTTTTGGTTGGTTTTTTTTGTTTGTTTTTGTTGTTTTTTTTTTGCAAGCTGCTGCACAAACCACCGAACGGAGAGAAGCCTTTGGTCATGAGATATAACTTGTGAGAAAAAGTGAGCCTTGTATGGAAGATTCCCCTGAATGCCTACAGTATTCTAAATCTTAAAAAAATATATTGTGGACGCTGCAGCCATACAAAGGGGGGAGGGGGAGGAGGAGGAGGAGGAGGAGGAGTGGGAGATGGGGATTTACAGTCTCACATAGACACAACGGGGAGGTTTTAAGACAAGCACAGTCAGAGTCTGTAAAACTGATTGGCTCGCTGGGCTCAGTCATCCTCATCGTCCTCTTCGTCCTCTGGGTCTTCCTCTCCTTCATCCTCTAGACTTCGTTTTCTCTTCTGCCCACACGGATGGTCTGCAAAGAGAGGCCAAGGGTGAAGTTCTGCCCAGCCCTGGGGAGCAGCAGCTGAGCTGTGGCCACACAAGGCACGGCTGGGAGCGAGACCAGCACCATTCCAAGGCAGAGATCCACCCTGCCCTGCTCCTCGTGGCACGTGGAAAAGCCTGGGATGGCAGGAGACATGAACTACTTTCTGTGCCCTCTGAGCATCCCACATTTCAACAGCTGCTGGAAAAGGGGTTATTTTTTTGTTGAGGGCCCTCCAAAATGCAGCATCTGCAGAATTCAGTTGTTTCTAACCGAGTTCATGTGCCCTGTGCTAGACACTGATGGGGCCTCAGATCCCAGGGACAGTTCTGGGCCCCTCAGGACAAGAACACTGAGGGGCTGGAGCATGTCCAGGGAAGGGAAGGGAGCTGGGGAAGGGGCTGGGGCAGCAGGAGAAGCTGAGGGAGCTGGGGGGGCTCAGCCTGGAGAAAAGGAGGCTCAGGGGGGACCTTCTGGCTCTGCAACTCCCTGACAGGAGGGGGGAGCCGAGGGGATGTTGGGCTCTGCTCCCAGGGAACAGGGATAGGAGAGGGAACAGCCCCAAGTTGTGCCAGAGGAGGTTTAGACTGGAGATTAGGGAATATTTCTCCATGGAAAAGGTTGTCAGGCACTGGCACAACTGCCCAGGGCAGTGGTGAAGTCACCACCCCTGGAAGTGTTCAAAAACACGTGGATGTGGCACCTGGGGACATGATTTAGAGGTGAACACAGTGGTGTTGGTAATGGTTCGACTTGGCATTAGCAGGGATTTCCCAACCTTAACATTCCATGAGTCATCCAAGATCGTTTGAATTCACACAGCAGCCACAACATTCCGTCAACACTCATTTGGGTGTTTGTATTTGTTAAAACCAGAGGAGTCCGGACCCAAGAAGTTCAGGTCTGCAGCTGAACTGGTTTTCCAGGCAATCTGCCTCAAATATTTGGCAGAACTACCCAGAATGGTTGGAATTAGGAGGTACTGAAACCTGTTTCCCATTCCCTTTGTGACCCTTGGTGATGTCACCACTCAACATCAGCTTGGGCAGAAAAGCTGCAGCAAGAACAGCCCTGCACTGAGGCTTGGGGAGCTCTAAAAACACCAAATATTTGACTGTTGAGGCAGCTTTGGTAAGAAACTGGTTTGTTAGGATTCAACTCACCATCTTCAGCTTCATCCTCTTCATCCTCCTCACCATCTTCCTCCTCATCTTCCTCCTAGAGTTAAAACAAGGCATTTTGTTGCAAGAACCACAACTCCCTGAGCTGTAACTCCACAGCAACCTCTGCTCCCACCCCACTGAAGCCTCAGGGTGCCAGGGAGAAGCTGCTGATTCCCAATAGCTCCTCAATCCTTATGGATGGGGCTGCACGGCTTCATCACTTGGGGCCATGGGAAGCACCAGGGCAAGCCTGAACTGGAAAACTCTGGAGAACCAGGAGTCAAAAGGTGCAAGGAAAAAGTCAGAGGGGATGGCAAACTCTCAGATCTGCCCTCAAAGTGACACCTGGGTCACCAGACAAGGGATAAACACATGACCAAACAGCCTGGTGACAGAAAGCCTCACCTCATCATCTACTCCATCCTCCTCCTCTTCACCTTCCAGGTCATCATCTTCATCTTCTTCATCATCAATGACTTCTTCATCCAAATCATCCTCCTCCTCATCATCGTCCTCTTCCTCGCCTTCTACCAAAAGCAGAGGGAGGGAAGTGCTCCAGCCCCCAAATCCTCGCCACCCCCAGACACTCTGCTCCCCCCTCAGTGCTGTGTGAGCAGCAAGCAGGGATCACCCAGGACAAGGAGGGACAGCAACACCCCTGTGCCAACTCCCAGAAAACCCCATTCCCTCCCCAGCCCTTTGGAGGAGGGAATGGGGGTACCCAGACAGCCCCTACTCAGTGCTCATCATTTATGGGGCAACGCGGCCCACGCAGAAGCAGAAAGGGGGTCGTTCCCCAGCAAGAAAACCAGGAGGAGAGAAAATCCTCACCTTCCCCATTCTCATACTCATCTTCCAGTGCATCCCCATCTGCTTCAGGGTCTGAGTCAGGGGCTTCCTGCTCGTCAGCATCGAAGCCATCCAGGTAGGTGAGCTGGGGCAGGAGGGCGAACACGCTTCCCGGTAGTTGATGAGCATCGTCACCTCGCAGTTGAAGAGGTCCAGACTGTGGAGGTTGGGCAGCTTTTTCTGCAAAAATCAATGCATTAACATTATTTACAGCACTGTTTGGAGATCAGGCAGCCGTGGGAGGACAGTGGCTCTGCCCCATGCGCTCCTCAGACAGAGGGAAGTCGCTGCCCTTGCTAATCGTGGGCACAGAAAATTTCTTTCCAGCTCCTCTGTTCTAGTTCCCCTCCTTGGAGCCAACTCTGAAACCATCTGCAAACCTTTCTTTCTTCTGAACAGGCACAGAAAGCCCAGGAATCGCTGAGCTGGACTCATCCTGCCGAAAATATCATGCAAGATGCCCAAGAGCAGAGCACAGGGAGAGCTGCAGCCCGAGTGCCCTCGGCACAGCCCAGCTCAGGCCATCCCACCAGGCACCAGGTCAAGGAAAGCAGGAGCAAAACAGTGCCAAATTCCTTCTGGAGGGGATGGATGGACCAAAGAGCCAATGAGGCAAATGCCCTGGATCAGATCATTCCTGTATCCCTCAGGATCACACGACAGGAGCCTTCTTGGGGCAGTTCAGATGGAACCTAAGAGGTCTTTTCCAACCTGGCTCCGTGACTGGGAGCCCTTGCAATGCTGTGGCAGTAGGAGGGTGCCAGCGCAGCAGAATCTTTAGGCTGATGTGACAGATGCCCTGACTGGTGTCCAAATACCTCATTCCATGACACCCCAGGTGCCACCTACCTCCAACTGCCTCCGACCCTCTCCCGGTCCTTTCCCAGATGGACACTGAGCATCCACAGATTTACTCATCCAGCCCAATTTCACGCTTCTTTTAGCAACTGGCTGCTGGTTTTCCAGACTGAGGAGCCATTAACTATTAGCCCAGCCTCAAACTGGGCTCAAATCTGTTCCCATCAGAACCACGAAGTGCTGTTGGAACAGTTACCAAGACGTTGGATTCCTGCTGCACAGACCCAACTCCCCAAAGGAAACATCATTCCAGCCTGGAATCTTCACTCACCAAGGGCTCCAGGGTATTGATGTCTTTGATCTTGTTGCCACTTAGATTCAAGTGTGTCAGGTTGGGAGTTTTCTCTGCTAGAACTTCAAGGCCACCAGAAATCCTGTTATCACTCAGCTCCAGCTGCCAGGGGGGAACATCACATGGTCACCAAGTGTTTCAGCCCGTGCCGTGGGGAAGAACATTGCCCTGAGAACTGGGCCACAGTGAGCACCCCAATGCCAGATCCTGTCACAGAGCAGCAGGTCAAGTTTTGCCTGGACACCCCTTTCCTGCAGTGACACAGAACTGCCCCCAAATCCAAAGTGTTTATGATGTTATGAAGCTTCTGACAGCAAAAGGAAGAAAGACACTCAGCATCTAAAGAGCTCAGAAGCATCTCGTGCACTCAAACCTGACCCCTCTCACTTGCTCTACGAGGAAAAAAGCAAAATTAAGTGGCCTTTTTTTTTTTTTTGGCAAATACAGGGAAAACAAGTGTCACCAGAAGTCTCAGGGCAAGGACTGCTGGAGATGGGGCCACAGGCCTGACTCACCTTCCGGAGCTTGTTGAGTTTGGGGAGGTTGGACACAGACAGCAGGTTGATGTTGATCATGCTGAGGAACTCCAGGTTCTCGAAGTCCGAGGAGAGACCAACCACCTTCCCATCCTCCGAGCGACAGTTATCCAGCACCAGCTCCTTCACCTGCCAACAGAGACACCCACAGTGTCACCTCACCCGCCAAAGTGCCACCCGGGGTCTGCCAGGTGACATCAGGCTGTGCCTGAAGCTCCTCCTCACTCAGATCGAAGGACACACGAGATCCTGGGAGCCAAAGAGCTGCAGGGAGGGCACAAGGTGAGGATCCCTCGTGGTGGTGGGAGCTTCACCCTTCAATCACGAGCCACCAACACGTGACAGCTGCCCCCACCGAGGTCCCCCTTGTCCGTGAGGCAGCACCCAGGGGTGGGGCCATGAGTTCACATCAGAACACCCCGTGCAGAAGCATCAATAAGCTTTCAGAGCCACGCTCCAGGCTTCGCTGACGAGAGGCCAAACAAGGTCATCTGGTTTTGTCCCCTTCCATGTTCTCCCCCCACACCCACTGGGGTGCTGGAAAAAACCTGCCCCTGAAGGATCTGCTTCCCTGTGACAGCCTCCACGTGAGGTGACAGGTTCCAACCTCAGGCTCGTGGTGCAGGGCCACTGATGGCACCTGATGCTGTGCCCAGCATGGCTCACACACAGAAACCATCATCACCCAGGAACTCCACCTGTTTGTGCCACCAGGACCTTAAAGCACCAGCACAGAACTGCTCTCCCCTAAACACCCGGGGGTAAAACTTCCCTGGCACCCCTTTCCCCCCCTGAAGAGTGGGTGAGTGATGCTCCAGCCCCAGCTCTCACAAGCCACTTCCAAAACCTGCTTTTACCCCACACGTTCTTCACAGCAAGATGCAAAAATGAGCCTTGGCCAGAAGGCTCATGGCGCTTTCCAAATTCCTCCTTCGCAGTGCTCCCATTTTCCCTCCCCTGCTCACACCAGCCAGCTATTAGGGAGTCATTTTAAACTCACTTTGCCTTCCTGGAGGCAGTCTGGGGGCTGCTGTGCCATCTTTGCCACCTTCACAGCATAAGCTCTGAACCAGCTAATGCTTAAAACTCCCCAAGTGGCATCAACTGGGCAGGGTTTGGAGCTGAGGCTCAGCCAGGAGTTTTGTAGCTGAGCCTGTTTTGCTCCCAACACCCTGGAAGTCTCCAACTGAACTAAGACTGTCCCCGTGGTGGGTTTAAAGGTGGTCAAGGCCAGACCCGGGTGGCTGTTGTATGGGCACAGAGGTGATCCTGAACCTAATCAGGAATCATGGAATGGTTTGGGTGGGAAGGAACCTTAAAAATCATCCAGTGCCACCCCCTGCCATGGGCAGGGACACCTTCCACCAGCCCAGGGTGCTCCAAGCCCCGTCCAACCCGGCCTTGGACACTCCCAGGGATCCAGGGGCAGCCACAGCTGCTCTGCCCAACCTGTGCCAGGGCCTGAGTGGAACTCTGAACTCTAACGTGGCCAAGACCAGGTTTAACCCAGGCCGGGCCCTGTCCTGATGGCCCAGGACGAGCCGCAGCAGGACAGAGCAGCGGGGAGGGCTCTGCTCCCGGGACACCCCGCTCTGACCCCGCTGGCTCTGCAATTCCCGGCTCACCCCGCCGGCACCAGCCGCCCTCTCAGCTGCTCCCGCTCAGCCCTTCCCGTCCCGCAAATCCCTTCTCCATCCACGAAGCCGCTCTAATCCCCACCCAAAGCTCCTCTCACGGCCCCCCATTTCCCTCCTCTGCTCGGGGGCTTTCGGAGCTGCCACGACACACGAGAGTGTCCCGGGGAGATCCAGGGAAAGGGCAGATCCAGGGAAAGGGCAGATCCAGGGAAAGGGCGGCCCAGGTATGGGAAAATCCAGGCAAGGGGCGGCCCGGGGGGAGGGAAAATCCAGGGAAAGGCAGATCCACGAGATGAGAAGATCCAGGCGAAGGGGCGGCCCGAGAATCGAAAGATCCAGGGAAGGGGCAGCCCGGGCACGGCAAGACCGAGGGAAGGGGCGGACGGAAAGATCACGGGGAAGGGACGATCCAGGGGGAGGGAATATCCAGGGGCAACGAAAAGTGCCGGCGGCGGGGCGGCCCCGCAGCGCCAGGCGCGGCCCGGCCCGGCCCGGGGAGGCCCCTCCAGCCCTGCCCGTGCCGGGGGGATCCCCGCGGGGCTCTCCGCGGCCCCGGCATCGAACATGGCCGAGCGCCGCCATGGCCGCTCGCTGCCTGCCCAGCCCCGGCGCGGCCGCTCCGCCGCGGTTGGCCCTGCCCTGCCCTGCCCTGCCCTGCTCCGCTCCCCCCTCGCCGTGCGGGGCCGGGCCGTGCGGGGCCGTGCGGAGCCATGCGGGGCGGGCGGGCCCCTCCGCGCACGTGCGCGCCGCCATGGCGGGGCCCGGGGCACGGCCGGGAGCGCTCCCGCCACCGTGGTGTCCCCCCAAAAAACCCCACACACCCGCCGGCAACCCCCCGCGGGCCGCTTCTTCTCCCGCTTCTCCCCGCCGCCACCCGCAGCACGTGGCGCACGGTCCCCCTGCCCTTCCCCACCACCACCACCCCGGTCCACGCACCTCGCTCGGCTTCTTGTTGCGCAGCTCCAGCGTCAAGCGCTTCTCCATCTCCATGCTCCCCGCGCAGAGCCGCGCTCTGCTCCGCTCCGCTGCCGCTCCCGCCGCTGCCTCCGCCCCGGTGGTGCCGCCGCTCCGGCCCCGCCGCTCCCGGTCCCGGTGCCGCTCCCGCCCCCGCCCGGCGCAGGAAGAGGCGCCAACGGCAACAAAGGCGGGCGAGCGACGCGCCCCCCGGCGGCCACGGCGGGAACTGCGGCGCGGGCAGGGGCACAGCGACACCTGCGGGCGACCCCGCGGGGCTGCGGGTTCGAGTCCTGCCCCGGCGGGGACGGCCCGCGACAGCACCGGGGTCACCCCGCACCGCACCGCATCGCCGAGCCCGGCAGCGCACAGCAGTCCCCGGCACCACGGTCCCGTCTGCAGCACCGTGATCCCTCCTCTGGAGCTGCGTTCTCATCCCCGGGCACCATGGTTACGTCTCCAGAGTCATGTTCCCCAGCACCATGTTCCCGTCTCCGGAGCCACGTTCCCGTCCCCAGGCACTGTGTTGCAGTCTCAGCACCGTGTTCCTATCCTCCAGACACGACAGTTCCTTCTCCAGCACCATGTGCCCGTGCCCAGAGCCACATTCTCATCCTCAGACACCATGGCTCCCTGTCTTCCTCTATCCCCATGTTCCTGCCTCCAGAGTCACGTTCCCATCCCAGGCACCATGGTCCCTTCTCTGTCATCACATTCCAGTCTCCAGAGCCACATTCCCATCCTCAAGCACCGTGTTCCCACCCCTCAGCACTGTGTTCCAGTCTCCAGCACTGTATTCCCATCCCCAGGCACCATGGCTCCTTCTCTATCCCCATGTTCCCATCTCCAGAGCCACGTTCTCATCCCCAGGTAATATGGTTCCTTCCCTGTTTTCACAGTCTGGTATCCAGAGCCACATTCCTGTCCTCAAGCACTGTGTTCCCATTCCCAGGCACCATGGCTCCTTCTCTGTCACCATATTTCCACCTCCAGAGCCACATCCTCATCCCCAGGCACCACATTTCCTTCTCTATCACCATGTTCCCATCTCCAGAGCCACATTCCCACCCCCAGGCACCGTGGTCCTTTCTCTGTCATCACATTCCAGCCTCCAGAGCCACATTCCCATTCTCAAGTACCGTGTTCCCATCTCCAGGTGCTCTCTACAGCTCCCTGTCAGGACCTTTGTAGCCAGTGAGGTCTGACCCCTTCACCCAAGTCACCACCAACAAAGGAAATGCCCTCAAGTTGCACCAGGGGAGGTTTAGATGGAGATCAGAGAAAATTCCTTTGTGGAGAGGGTGGTCAGGCAGTGGAAGTGTCCAAAAGGTGTGTGGATGTGGCACTTGGGGACGAGGGTTAGGGGTGGCCTTGGCCGTGTTGGGTTAATGGTTCAACCCGATGATCTCAAAGGGCTTTTCCAACCTCAACAATGTTCCAACCTCATCCTGTGTTCCCATCCCCAGTGCCACACTCCCATCTCCAGTCCCACATTCCCATTCCCAGCATTAAATTCCCATCTCCAGCCCCATGTTCCTGTCCCTGGTGCCACATTCCCAGCCCCCTGTTCCCATCCCCATCCCCACATTCCCATATCCTCATCCCAGGTCCCTTCTCCCAGCCCAGCAGAGGCTGTTCCTGCCCATGGCTGATAAGAGCAGGGTGTTGGTCGGGCTCTTGGCTGAGGGAAGGACGAGATAACAGCGGGAACTCCCGGCACTGTGAGGCTGGGATGGTGTTTTTCCCTCCTGGAGCACACAGAGCTCTCCCTGGCCAGGCACAAACTCCGGAGCTGGGAATGCTGCTGCTGCCAGAGGGACAGGAGAGGGTCAGCAGGGTGAGCCCAGCCCGTGGCCCAGGCAGTGGCCTCGGGCCCAGCTGCCCTTCAGGGGTGTGATGGAGCTTGTTGGACTCTCTGAGGGCTCAGGAAGGTCCCCCACCACGACACCAGGCACAGGAGGAAAATTCCTGCAGGATGTGGGCACTGCTGCCTGCAGCTCCATTAAAAATCAGCAGAAAGAGCAGCCGGAGAAACCTCTCTGATCCACGACCAAGGCTCCAAATAAACAGGAACACGAGGGCCAGCGGGCCTGGCCCTGCTGTCCCTCATTGTCCCCTCTGGCAGGAGGCCACGGGCCTGCCTTGTATGGGAGGAAATGGCTTTTCTGGTCCTCTGCAGATCAGTTTTGCCAGTTGGCTCCAACACCAGCCTTGTTTCACTGGGAGGAGCAGAGTGAAGTGGTGACACTCAGCAGAGGGGTTCAGGCTCTGGAGGGACCAAACTCATTATTTTTAGGAGCACATAAGGGATGTCTCCACACGGAAAAATTGCCTTTAATGCATTTTTGGCACCTCTGTGACCTCCCTTGCTGGCCATGGCTGGGTCTCTCCAGCCCAGCTCCATGGCAGAGAGCTCCCACACCAGTGCACTCTCCTGGGTGTGCCCCTGAGGAACCCCCAAAACACCCAGTGTGGAGCTGAGCAGAGGCAATGGAGGATCAGGAGTGTTTTGGGGGGCACTGAAGGGGCAGGAGAGCAGCCCATGGCTGGGGTAAGAACATCCTCTTACTGCCCTGCCCAGGCCAGTCACATCCCCACAGGGGAAGCAGCAAGTGGGGCATCGATTCTAATTGGAGATGTCCCTGCTGATCACAGGGAGGGTTGGACCAGGTGACTTCTGAAGGTCCCTTCCAACCCCAAACATTCTATGATTCTACAAATGTAAATTGTTACCTTATTATAACACAAATTTAAATTAATTATTTATTTTCGTCCCGTGAGTCATGGGATCGTTTAGGCTGGAAAAGACCTGTAAAGATCACCGAGTCCAGCCATAAGGCCAAGGCCAGGTTGGATGGGACTTGGAGCAACCCTGGATCTGGTGATAGATATTCCTGCCCATGGAACTGGATGAGCTTTAAGGTCCCTTCCTAGCCAAGCAATCCCAGGATTCTCTCATCATCGAGTCCAGTCCTAACTGGGACCCTCTTTTTCGGGGTGATTTCCAGGCTCCTCTGGCTCTTTTTGGCTTCAGTCTGGAGTGAAAGCAGGTCCCGAGCCCCGAGGGGTCCCCGGATCCCCCCCGGACATCCCCCCCTCTGGCCCCCGGGCAGTGCAGCTGGGAGATGAGCGGGCGATCCCCCCCTCGCTGATCTGCATTTGTTTTAAGGTTCTTTCATGTCCCCTTTGAGGCTCGTTTCCTGTCCTTTGTAGCGAACAATGGTGTGTGTCTCCCCCCGCCCGGCCCTGGGTGGTTTTATCTCCCCTCCCCTGGGCCGCCGCTCCCCCGGGAGCTGAGCTTTGTGTTCGCCTTCAAATAAAAACCCTGCTCTGCTTTCGCCGAATTGATTTGAAAGCTGGGGCCGGGGAGTGGATGTCTGGGAGATGCATTTGCAGGGATCTAGATTTTCTGTGTTTGGACAGATTAACGCCAAACCCGTAATTTACTGCGCGGGTGACAGTCCTGGGAGGCCGGACTGGAACTGCTGACAGGGGCTGAAATTCAGGTCTGGAGCTTTTCAGGCAAGCTGGAGCACAGATGCCGGGGGGGTGGTGGTGGGGGAACGTATTATCTGTCTGTTATACAACACAATATTTATCTGCTTGGGGTTTACAAGGCGTTAACTACTTCGGTCCTCGCCCGGTGCCTCCTCAGAGTCGGTCCTGCCACAGGGACTTGCTCACCCCTCTGTACCTTCCTCTCCTCAAAACAGGGAGGGGAGTCTCTCAAATCTCCTTGGTGGCTGTAGATCCGCAGCCACCGGTCCTGCTGGGACACACTGGGATCCAGCTGGGTGTTAAATCAGCTGCAGGAGGTTCTCCTGCAGGAGCCAGGGGGCTGCACAAGCCCCCAAGTAAGGGTTGGTGCCTGCTTGGCTGGGCTGTTCCACCACGGGTATTCCTCCACATCCTGGGCTGGGTTATCCCAGCAGCATGTGCAGGGTGAAGAAGGGGATTCTGCCCCTCTGCTCTACCCTGGTGAGATCACCCCTGCAGAGCTGTCTCCAGCTCTGGGGCCCTCAGCACAGGAAGGATGTGGAGTTGTTGGAGAGAGTCCAGAGGAGGCCACGGAGATGCTCCCAGGGCTGGAGCCCCTCTGCTCTGGAGCCAGGCTGGGAGAGCTGGGGTGGTTCACCTGGAGAAGAGAAGGCTCCAGGGAGACCTGAGAGCCCCTTGCAGGGCCTGAAGGGGCTCCAGGAGAGCTGGAGAGGGACTGGGGACAAGGGATGGAGGGGCAGGACCCAGGGAATGGCTTCCCACTGCCAGAGGGCAGGGTGAGATGGGACATTGGGAAGGAATTCTTGGCTGTGAGGGTGGCGAGGCACTGGCACAGGTTGCCCAGAGAAGCTGAGGCTGCCCCCCCTCTTCCCCTGTACCCAGATCCCCCCTTTCCCCCCATACTCCATCCCCCGATCCCCCTTTCCCCCCGTCCCCAGGCCCGTGTCCTCCCCTCTCTCCGGCTGCACCGCCGGTCCCTGCCCGCAGGTGGCAGCACCGGCCCGGCCTTGGGGGTCGAGGGGCCGTCCGGGCGTCCAGGGGGGTCCCGGGAATGAGGGACGGGGAATGAGGGATGGGGAATGAGGGATGGGGAATGAGGGATGGGGAATGAGGTCAAACCCCTCCGCGGAAGGAGAGTCCGAGCGTGGCTGAGGGTCCCGGGAAAAGAGGTCCTGATTTGGGACCGACAGGGCTCTGCCACCCTCGGCCACGGGGTGGGGGGTGCGCGACCTCCGGGCAGCTTTTTGTGCTTTGGGGCAGGACAGAGGTGCCCGAAGGGTTTGGGTGCCACTGGCCTCCCTGCAGGCAACTGGGAGGAGTGTCTGAAACAGGAGCTGTTGAGTCCATCCAACCATCAACCCACACCCACCGCGTTCACCACCAACCCATGTGCCTCAAGTGCCACATCCACACGTTGTTGTTTGAACACTCCCAGGGGTGGTGACTCCACCACTGCCCTGGGCAGCTGTGCCAGTGCCCGACCACTATTTTAGCAAAGACCTTTTTCCCAATATCCAACCTGACATCTCCCCTGGCACAACTTGAGGCTGTTTCCTCTCCTCCTGTCCCTTTTTCCCTGGAAAAGACCAATACCACCCCCCCACACACACACCGGCTCCCCTCTCCTGTCAGG